TCCGGGGAGCGCCCGCCCGCTGGCGGCGAACCCCGGAACGCCGGGTAGGAAGGGGAAGGTACGTTACTAACGGGATTGTGAGATCCGAACCACAGGAAAACCCCAAAATGAACATCACAGCTGATCAACGGAAGAAAATCGGTAGCAAGTGTTGCCCGTACCCTCTGTAACCCGGATCAGGTACAGGTTGCCAAAGAGTTAACTGGAAAAGAGAATTACAGCTCAATACATGAAAATACCTGAAGCGTTATTACTTTTCAGGAGGGTGAACCCTCTGTCCACTGCTCCAAAAATAGGTGCTATGGAAAGGAACTGCCGCCTTGACACGCTACGCCAGGAGAGGAGAACTCGCTTGACAGGAAAACGGTCCGTCCACGAGGACAACAATGGTCTGTCTGCGAGGACAACAATCGTTCATCCACGAGGACAACAACCGTCCATCCACGAGGATGACCCCGACGCCTCTGCAGCGGTTCATGCAGAGCCCACCCTCCGCGTTTCAACTCCGCATTCACGCTCCTCCAAACGCAGAGCCTAGCACTTAGAAATAATTCTGTTGCTTTTTTTTTTTTTTTTTTTAAATAACACAACCTTTTTCTATGTATCATAAAAAGTATTCATTTTATGTATTTTTAAAAGTTTATATAAAATGTCTACAAAATCCAGGAATATTTATCCATACATTTTACCCAAAAGTGCTTAAAATATTAACAAAAGTGGTTCTCTTTACATCAACATTTTTAAACCAAGGAACTATTCCTTAATTTAGAAAACCAAGGGTTATTCATAATCGCTGCAAGTAAAACAAGAAATGCCAATGACAGGCCTTTAGCAAGACAGTGTGAATATGGTTCTCCTGTAAAAAAAAAAAAGGAAAAAAAAATATAAGCGTATGAGAGCTAAATTTTAGTTTAGACAACAATCCAAAGGATACAGATTAAAGTATATGCATAGTCTGAATAAAATGGAGCACAAAGCAAGGGATTAAGAAGCTTCATGCTTACAAAACTTCATACTTTATGCCACTTTAATCCCTGAAGTTGTGCAGATAATAAACACAGGCTGTTGCCTCTGTCCATGCAGCTCTCAGAAGAGAGGGGCAAGTGCCTTGATGCTCTTTGGAACACCAGACATTTAATCTACAGTCTCCCACAAAACATAATCCACCACAGTTTTACACAGAGGAAATCTAAAAATTAACCGCCTTACCAACATGGCAAATTTTTACTGGAACTCACATGGGCTGACTGGAAAACACATACCCGTAAAGTGAGAAACCGTCTCCCTCCACCCCTGAAGGGCAATAACAGGCACTGACAATGCCTGACAATGATTACAGTAGGAAACAGAACGTGAGCATAAAGTGATGTATTCTCCCTCCAAACTCTACAGGGGAGTGAAAAAGAATTTCTCTCTGCCAAACAGATATTCACAAAATTTCAATCTTATCCACAAAGTACTCCCTGTAATTAGTTTTTCCACTGGTCTTGCTAAAAAATTAATACATTATCAAGGAAAAAATTAAACAGACTTTTTGGACCATGCTTTCTCAAAGAGAAATTTTAATTCCCTACTACAAAGCATTCTTTCAGACTAAACTGCACACAATTAATTATGTTTCAAAGAAATATGGCCAGTTCACAGCATTCCGTACTTCTTACTATTTTTACCTGTGTAAAACCGTGTCAACGGATAAAAAAGTTGTGGCCAGCACACATCATTTCGATTGCAGTCAAATTCTGTGTAATTAATCTGGAATCTGAAGAAAAAAAGAAAAACAACAGGTTTACTAACTACAGTACCAGAACACCAGCACAAGTGGATAAAAGCAGAGTGAAAAGGTGTCCAGATTACAGGAAAAAAAACCCAAACTAAACCACAAGCTTCTTGTTATTCTCTTATGACTTTTTTTTCTTTAATAGAACAGGAGCCTCCCCTGTATTTCTGTCATTTTTAGTCAGATGTGTCTTTTTGTGATGAACGTTTTCAGACAATGGATAGTTTGGGACCCTCACTCTGCATCCCTCATCCACTAAACTAAACAACACAGAAGCTTGTCTGCAAAAACCAAATGACAGCTTTGCAGGGTACAGCCCTTCATGTTCTTCAGGCTCCTGGGGAAGATGGTGACGAACAGAATTGTTACTCAATAAATCTTTGAACCAGGCCTTACTGCTCTGTAGTCCACCAAACCAAAGTAACCTTTTGATCAATGCTATTCACATCTGCTTAACATAACGTGAAGTATCCATGTTTTTAAAGATTACCTTGTCATTGGAATGGGTGGCTGAGCTGGCACTTTAATAAACTGAACAGAAGCAGTGATGGGAAGAAAGCTGATGCTGTTTTCACAGATAAGCCCGCACTGGAATTGCCATATGACTGTTGAGTAACTGTAAGAATATGCATAACTATTACTTGAGGGCTGTAAACAGATATTTAGAGCCTAAACATCACCATGAAAGGATAAAATACACAGTATTTAGTAGGCAGTTAATGATCTCCGGATTTTCAACACCATACAGGGAGAGGACTTGCAAAGTCTGGAAATGTGGTAACATGGAACAGAATTGCATGTGTTTAATTGGGATTGACTTGGGAGAAAAAAAAAAAGTGTTTGCAAAGTGAAAATTCCCTCTTTTGGAAAAGAATAAAGCATTTACCACAGCTCTCAAGAACAGCTCCACGTTGAGGTAAGCCAGAACACATGATAATGTTGCCACTTCCACCACATGACATTAAAACATTCTTCTGATGGCATGCCCTACATAAGCCTACTACTGGCAGCATCATAGATTTTATTTCATATTTCAGTGAAGTAAAAGGTTACCTACTGTTAATCATTACTATTTTTTTAATCATTATTTTTATTTCAGAGGGAGAAAGGCAAACCTGGTTGTGATCAAAGGAATTTGGGCTGCAAATACAAAATACATGTAAGAAATTAGAAATAACAAAATAATGTTTTTGTTTGTAAAAGTTAATCCACATATGTTAGGTAAGCAAGTCTCAAAATGAAACATTTATTTGTCAGATAGCCAGAGACCTAACTCTCTACCTGATCTGCACAGCAAGAATCTCTTGCCGGGGAATCCCTTGTACCGCACCCACATCAGCAAAGATTATACGAATATTCAGATTTGCAGGAATATCTGGACAAATGCCTTTAAGGTTTCCACTGCTTACATTGATATCAGAATTAAACGGATCAAGACCTGTGGAGAACAGATTATTTAAACGTAAATATTATGGAGAACATTACCTTTTCCATAATTGTATTATTGTCACAGTCCAGTAACTTTCACATAGGAACACAGCAAAAAATCCACATAAAGAAAAGGAGTACTTTATCAACACAGAACTAAAATACCAAGCCATGTGTGTACCGGCTGACAGTAAAATACATGTTAGTGTAATATCCCTGTATGCATTGAGTTACACGCATGTGTGTACATGTATATGGATGGATGGATGGATCCAGACACACAGATCAGTATCTTTAGGCATTTGTAATTACAGTTTGGTTTTATTTTGAGATGCTCTATTCATTATATGGGCATATTTAGACTATAAACAGTAACACAAACCTCACTTACGTATAATTTCCACCCAGTCATTTAGATCACTGTAACTTGAATTGTCCCTCCTTCCAATGTGAGTAGCTTGTATTAATGAATTCAATTTCTCAGTTACATTTCCTCTGCAAAATAAGAATGTAAGATTACACAAAAAGTGAATCTGTACTGTCTACCCCTCTGGGTTGCAGTATTATTATATCATACGGTCAGTTTCCTCTGAAAGATGTTATAACTCAACAAAAACAAAACTTGAACTATTGAATTATCTGTTGAATGGAAGAAATGGCAAAATGCTCCACTCCGACATCATCAATCCTCATTTGAATACAGAGAGATTTGAGTGAAACCATTATTATAATTTCCTTATTAAAAAAGAAAGTGAGACTATCAGCCACAGAAAGCTGAAACGCATACATGAACATTTAAAAAGAATGTAACAGTGCTGATAGCAGACACTTGTAGAGAATCATGTAATAACCAACATAAGGGATGAAGGGGAAAAACAATTCAACCTACATAGCTCACCTTAAAAAGCTGCAGTCTTCATTAATACCAACTTCTAGAACGCACCCAGAGAATGAATCTAGTCCGAATAAAACTGGTGTATAAGTTGCCAACGTACATAAACCTCTGCCAGCTATGAAATGAAAACATCTTATTTGAGCTTTCTTATATCAACCTTTTGATCTCTAGCTTTCAATTTTGTGCAAAAAAAAAAAAATCAAACATTAGAATGCAAAACACCAAGTGGTATAGTTCAAGTATAGATACAGTCCATTCAATTTAAGTTTTCCAAGAAAGCATTAGAGGCTTACGCACTGAAGTTTGAATCAAGGCTTAGGAATAGTCTAGAAGAGGAAAATTTGGAAGAGATTCTTAATTAAAATGTTTTTTTAAAAACATTTTAGCCTTAACTACAGTTGAAGTTGCAACCTCACAAGCCAGTACCTGGCTGCCAAATGTTTAGGCTTCCAAAAGTATCAGAAGCATTCATATTTGCAGCTTTCACTGGTTTTCCGACTTGATAACCTAAACATAGAAGGGTAAATCATAAACATTGCATAAGAATCTTTAAACATTAGCATGGTTTGCATAATAAACACCATCAACCTTGAAGTAAACAAACAGACATTTCCATAACAGTAGGAATACACACACTTTACATAATCAATATCAATACAACAAAAGCCTAAGAACCAATCACCGCTATTACAATT